TGGCGGGCCAGGCGCTGCTGCTCAGCCTGGGCAGCGGGCCGGGGGCCGCGGCGGCGCCGGGGGCGCTGGACCTGGCGCTGCAGTACGTGCTGGCGCTCTACCACTGCCAAGTGTTCCTGAAGCGCTTCCTGCGCCTGCGGTACCGGCGGCAGCGGCGGCAGCAGCAGCTGAGGGGCGCGCTACCTACCCCTCCGGGCGCCCGGGCCCCTGTGGCGGCCGGTGCCAGGCGACGACGACTCCGCGGCCCCAGAGGCACAGGGGGAGTCCCCAGCCAGGGGCTGCCGGACCCGCTCCGCTTTCTTTTCTTCGGAATGCACGGCTTCCTGGATGAGATCTTCTTCACCTTCTTCTTTAACGTGCTCGGGCAGGGGCACGGGGCCACCATTGGCCACACGTCGCTCTGGTCCTTCTTTATGTACGGCAGCTGCAGTTACGTGGTTGAAAAGCTCTACTTCCACCTCCACTACAGCCGCGGTTGGGGTACCTGGAAGCGGGTGCCCGTCTACGTGATCTTCATCTACGCCTGGGAGCTGTCCTGGGGTCTGGGACTCCGCATGTGCGGGGCTTGTTCCTGGGACTATTCCCACTACCCGCTCAATTTCATGGGCCTCATCACCCTGATGTATTTACCTGGTTGGATATTCCTTAGTGTGTACCAGGACCTACTTTCCAACGTGTTGTGGCGAGTGCAGTACGTGCCGACTAACTAAGACCCAAAAAAGAAAGAGAAAGAAAAGGTCTCTGGATTCCCACGAATGAATGAGATTTATTTTTACACATTTAAATCAGAGTAGGTTTTTTAAGTCTTTTAATTTTTGTATGCTTTACTAAACTCTTTCAACATGTTTTATTAAACATTTGAGTTTTTCTGACTTCTTGGAACCTATGTATAGTACAATACTTTGAAATATTCCTCGAAACGTGACTCAGAGTACTTGTCAATATCTTAAGACCTTTACAAGCCCAAACAGCAAAACCGTTATACCTTAACATCCTAAATATCGGAAGCTGGGCGTAGATGGGTGACAGCTACTAGCCTTTTTTCTTTTTTCTTTTCTTTCTTTTCTTTTTTATTTTTTTTTTATTTTTTTAAGAAACTCTTCAAATCAGAGACCAGTGATTTTCACAAGATTTGGCAACATTTTCTGATTTAATGATTTATTTACTTTCTTTTTAATCTAATTTCATTTTAATTTGTCGCCGTATTTACCAATGACTGCTGAAACTCCATGTCTTGTACTCCTGAAACTACAATGAATAGCTCTTAAAGTGCCTCCGTCTAGCACACGAGTGAAAAGAATCTGATAAATGTGAAAACACGTCCTATAAATAGATTTTAAAATGAAAAATCTTTTCTAGCAACTCAGACAGGTGACACTGTGTTGATCTCCCTCCTGGAAATGACTGCTTTCCAAGGTGGGTTAGCCTTAAACAGCAAGTGTGTTAATGTTGATCAGATCCTGTGTTATCTATGGTTGTAAATTTTTCTGTGCAATTGTAAAATATTTACCCTACATGTCCAAGGACCAAGTGAAATTATATCACCTGCAATAGTGTTCTAACCCTAGGGACCCTTTTCTGTATGGAGCTTCAGAAACACCATGTTGGAATAAAACGAACCCAAACCTTCACTCTAATTACATTAGGCCTAATTATTTTCTGTGAACGCAGATATGTTTTCAGCATGTTTCTGCCATGGCTCACTTGTAAACATTTCTCTTTCTCTTTCCGGGACCAGAGTTGTTGGGCCAGGCATGATGTGGTAATGTGTATCATAAATCAATAATAGCTTTTTGGTGACACTATTAATGTCTAGAAACTCCATTTTTAAATGAGATTATGTAAGCCATTTTAAGAAATCATATTTATTTAATTAATAATGTACTTTGAGCTTGTTTGCTGTTTTTATTGTATTTAGAAAAGATAAGTAGAATTGAGTATAGCTCAGCCAACAATGACTAATACCTTCTCCGTTCTCATTACAAAGATAATTAGGAAAACGTACCGTGTGTGCAAAGGAGTAGTATCCTTTTCAAATCATCAGCTTGCCTGTGTTATCAAAAGGGACTTTATCCTGTTTCAAAAAATGTTTGTTATGGGAGTAGAAAAGAGTATGTATTTAGTTTTGATTAAATCAGGCCTAGTTCTGAGTGTTATATTATTTTAATCCATTATCTGAGGTTGTGAGCTAAATTTTAAGTCATGCTTTATAATCAATTCTACCTGTGAAATGGATCATCACGAACATTATTTTAGCCAGTCAAAGCTGGGTAGAAACTTCAAAGTAAGCTCAGTGTTTGCAGAGAGTCCCACTTAAGAAAAGTTCTTTATGACACTCGATCACAGGTCAAAGACTTCTGAAAACCTTGGGGAGAAAAATGTGTAAGTATAGACACTAAAGTTAGGCAGAAGCTGGACAAAGTATTTGTAATTCAAATGTGACACATTCACATGAATCTGGGTTAAGTGTGGCACCACTTCACACTCTCCTGAATACCAATTCACATTCCTGCGAATACTTAACCAAATCCATGACTTCTGAAATTCTTGCTGTTGATGTTTGTCTTTTACTTGCTGCTCCTCAGCCCTCTGATTTGCCTACCAACATTCTCAGGGTCAGAAATCTGTCAGGGGGCTGCTAGCCAGTTAGCTCAGTTGGTTAGAGTGTGGTGTTGTAACACCAAGGTGTAGGGTTAAGATCTCCATACTAGCCAGCAACCAAAAAAAAGAAGAAAGAAAGAAAGAAAAGAAAAAATCCATCAGGAAGTAGGGAAGCAACGCAATTTTGTTTTGCCGTTGATGTTAATCCTATTTAAAGGAAAGGTCAAGGTTTTCATTCATTCAGTTCACTCAAGTAGTAGTTACTGAGCCGCCGCTATTTGCCAGGAATTTGCAGCAGTGAACCAACACAGACAAAATCTCTGTCCTTATGAAGCTCACATTTCTGATGTTTTGGTTTGTATGAAATTATACTTATTTGCAAGGCTGCTATTTTGGTAATAGGCTATGAGAGGCCGTTGTCAAGAGGACTCTTATCAAGCCTGTCCCTGGAACATCAGTCTCTAAAACAAAAACCCATTAACAGTCTCTCCAGAAGTTCTGCAAAGAGCTAGTTCTTATGTATTCAGGAAGTGATTAGCCTGTCTATAAACTCACACTTTGCTTTAGGGCTTCTCATTCTGTGTTTACTCAACTTCTTAAAAGTAACATTTTGCTGCAACCTTTGAACCTTTAAGGAAAAGCAGGGAGAAGAAGGATCATCAAGTCATTCAATTTTGTTAGTCAGTAGTTCAGATATGGAAATGGTAAGGCAGTAGTTAGTATTTAAGTAGCACTTACCACCTGCCAGGAACTACTCTGAGGTAGGGGTGGGTGGGTGTGTGGGCGGTGTACTCATATATTTTAAGTAAATATGTGTACTATATATTCAATATATCTTATATGTATATATATATCATATGTATCTTAAGTAGATATATGTATTTATATGTGTGTACATACATCCACTTAAACCTCTAACGACCTTCCTTTTACAAAGACAATGAATCTGAAGCCCAAATAAGTTAAGTAACTGTCCAACTTATACAGCTATTGAGCACTTAGATTTGAATCTAAGTACACTGGACTCCGGGATCTGTTCTTAAGAGCAACAGGATCGTGCCTCAGTCTATTGACCACAGTGATTTTGGATCTTCAATGGATTTCTCTTTATGATCTGTATTGCTCTTCCCTTCCACTGTTAAAGATGCAAGCGTAGCTGTATAAAAGCCAAACACACTAGCAGCAAAAAGACTCTTTCGTGTTTCCTTTTTATTCCATGGTAAATAACAAGGGAGTTAATAGCAGAATACATAACTGACAATCAGCCTAGTTCTAATCCTCAGATGATATGTCTCTATGTTCAAGTGCTGCTCTGAAATGGAGATCCTCATTTGAGGTCAGATAATCTTGAGTATAAAAGTATTAGGAAAATATGCCAAAATGCAAGATACCTCATATCACAAGCTAGGAAAAATACATGTAATTATTGCTATACATTTAATATAGTACTCAGAATGAGTGTCATTGTAAGAACTAAACAGACAAAAATTAAAATTAATTTTTTTGCAGAGATATTTATTTTGAGTGCTACTAATTATCTCACAGTCTAAGAAATTTTTAATAGAAAAACATGGAGAAAAAACAGTAACAAATGTAAATATTCTCTCTATGTTTAACTTATACAAAGCTCACTTTTTATTAGAAGTGCTTTAAATTTTAAATCAATTTATTTGGGCTCTGAATCTAAAGAGGAATATAATCTTATGAGTTTATCGTGTTAACAATGCATACAGAAGTTCCTATATTATATAAGAACTCCAGTAATGTTTTTTTTTTTTTTTCCTTTTTGTCTTTTTTCATGACCGGCAACGGATCGCAACCCTCGGTGTTGCACCCGCACCTTGCTCAGCCAGTGAGCGGCCGGTCTGTATGAGGGATCCGAACCCTCAGCGGGAGCGCCGCCACACTCTCAAGTGGCGCACTGTAGCAGTGCACCACCGGGCCAGCCCAGAACTCCAGTAATGTTGATAACCCATTTCAATATTTCAAATATTTGAAAAATTCAGTGTACTTACCTATGACTATTTTATTATAAATATTTGACATTTCATGTTTTAATTCAGCAAAACACAGTTTAGAAAAATATGACCTGTCTTTTATTGTTTAAGAAACATCTCTAATTAGATAATAGTACCCCTTTGGGGGAAAAAAAAACTCACTCTACTGTTTTGAAATTGTCTCTGTCAACATAATGGACCTGGCTCTGTTTAAGAAAAATGGTGAAGAAGAATTTTGGTAGATTGCTTTAGATCTCATTCCACTTCCAAAACACATAAAAAATCAATATACTTGGAAGGGAAGTTATACTCACGATTAAGAGTCAGAATAATAAATAAGTCACTGTATTATAGTATGTGAAAGCATTTTAATAAAATCAATTTTCCTTATATTAAAAGTTGTTAAAAGTCTTTTACCTTTTAAATTAATTTTAAATATACTATCTCCAACAGTGCTTAATGGAGCTAAGCTCCTTTACTGAGAGAAAGTAAGAAGAGAGAACATAGTTCTTTCCCCTCCCTTCATCAAACACATGCCTCACTTTATGCTGAAGTGAAAGAAGGAAAAGATGTTTCTGTTGCCTTGCCGGTTTTTCTGTTTTTGTCTGTTTGTTTTTTTCTATTCTTAGGCTTGGTACCACAAGAATCAACAAAAACAGCAATTGTCCGTGTGGCCCTCCATTCACTGGATTGGCCTCATTCTAATTTTTAACATTGAGGCATCAAGCCATCACACAGGCAATGACTCAGTCACTAGCAACCCAAATTGTAAATTAACCTGTGATGTCTATAGAGAAATTTTTCTTAGCCATTTTTTTCTCTTAATATAAAGAAAATATAAATATAAAAGAACTTTCCTTAATTTTTAAATTATCTTTGCAAAAATTGTCAAGCAAATTACCAGAGAGACTGAGAGAGAGAGAGAGACTGATCCTTAACATATAGAATGATTTAAGTTTCATTTTACCTCTTAACAATTCTATTAGAATCCAAAAGAAAAAATGTACCTTCACCATGTGTTAAGGAAAATTAAGGGTTCAAAGAAGCTGTGAAGGTTGATAACATCTACCTTCCACCCAAAGTAGGAATTTACATGTCTGAAAGATGATTTCTTAGCTCAGTTATGACTATTCAAGACAGTATTTACTGTGTTATT